GCAGCAGCAGCAGCAGCAACCTCCGTTGAGCCCTGGCGCCCAGAGAGTGAAGATCACGGTCCAAGAGAATCCTGACAGCGTGCCAAAGACGCCTATACTCATCACGAGAACGTCGAACGGTGAGAATCTAGTCAAGACGCCTTGAGATCGCCCCTCCCCCCTCCCTCGAGGGAGGAAAACGATGGATCTGGCCGACGGATGGGAAATTCGAAAGGAGGAGAGGGAGGAAGAAAGGTGAAAGAAGATTAAAAAAATATATATATATATATAAAAAATGAAGAAAAAGAGTTGCGTTCCACGAGCGTGAAGGATTTGCGTCGAATTTGATCGTCGGAGGATGGTAGGATTGATCGAGCGTGTTGCCGCCAGTGTTCCTAAAGAAAAGAAAAAAAAAAGAAAAAAACAAAAAAAAAGAATGTTGACACAACGAATTATCGACACTCTTGATCGAATTTTTATGACGATTTATTATTAGTTTCTTCTTCTTCTTCTTCTTCTTCTTCTTCTTCTTCTTCTTCTCGTTCGTTGTTTTTGACATCGATTATCCGAGTTTGTGTTCACGAATTTTTCTTGCGCGCCCGACAAACTGCTGGATTGACTCTCTCTATCTTCTTCTTCTTCGAAGAAAGAATATACACGCGCACATACATATATAATACATGCATATATATACATATACACGTACAGTTTTTTTTACAAACGACTATTCGTTTAGTATTCGGTTACTAAACGGGAGAGGAAGGAGGAGGGATTCTATGAAACGCGATTTCATTGTACATATTTGCGAATAATAGAATATAATAATAATAATAATAATAATAATAATAATTATTATTATTATGCCGTTTGTTATAAGGTTTGTGGATGGAAAACCTATTTGATACTATTACTACTACTACTGCTATTACTACTACCACCACTATTAATTTTATATTACATATGTATACGCAATATTAGCACACTAGTCAGTCACCTCTTAAGCGGTATCCCTTCTCGAGCGTCGAATGGACGTCCGGTTTTACGATATAAGTTCCATTAGAATCCTCTGAACTCAACCACCATTCTTGTTTCGACGTTTAACGACGCTATAAACGGTGAGAATCCTCGCCTCTATGTATTGTCACAATCATTCTAAACTTGGTTAAACATCCGTCTCCGTAATGTCGTCACGACCGGCTTTTTGTTGCAGTTTTTTTCGAGTAGATCGATAACCGCGTCTCGCGACTCTGTTGGACGAGTTTTCTTTCTTTCTTTTTTTTTTTTTTTTTTGAAAGAAGAAGAAGAAAGAAAAGAAAAAAAGGAAATTAATTTATACGAAACATCATATTATAATATATTTATATACAACGAATTCCATTCCAGATTTAATCGTATCCGTCATCCCTTTTCCTCGACGATTGTTCAATCGTCAACGATCGCGCTACGGACGATGAATAAATTTAAGAATTTAAGCTTAGTTTATAGATAGCTCGTTTTAAAAGTAGAAGAAGAACTTGAGAATTTTAAAAACATTCGTCGCTTTTGTTCTATCGAATTGAAATTTTAATACGAAATTTCAACTTCGATTTCTGTTAATAATAAATTTTATTATCAAACGATCCTTTTTATATATATATACAAAATTCCAAGAAGATAAAAGAATAAATAATAATTGTTAGACGCGTCAGAGAATAATGGAAATATATATAATATATTTCCATTTTTCTCTCCCGTTATTTCTCTCTAATCTCTCTTCATAATCTTTTTCCATGCCAAATTTCGAC